GAGACTGAGGCAAGAGAATCGCTTGAACCCAGGAGGCGGAGGTTGCAGTGAGCTGAGATTGCACCATTGCACTCCAGCCTGGGCAACAAGAGCAAAACTCTGAAGATAAACAATTAAAAAAAAAAAGTCTGGGTTTAAAACATTTATAGAAAAAGTAACTGCTACTTCCTAGTGGAACTACCAAATGCCAGGTAATCTGCTAGATGATTTTAATCACACTGTAACATGGATATTACTTCTAAGTAACCCCAAGTAACAAAGTAAAATTACTTGGTTGAGTGTTGTCAGAGAGGATGTGGGGCTAAGGTTCTAACCATGGTGCAAAAACTCCAAGTCCTTTCAATACGCTAAACTACTACCTCAAGGAATTAGATGACAGGTAAGAAATGAAAGGCAAAAAGAGCTGAAACCTTTATATTATAGCTTCAACCTAGAGGCTTCATCCTAGGTTCAACTTTTTAAGAAAATGATATGTCACAGGTGCTGCGTACTTCTCATTTCATCACCTCAGAAAGCACACCATCGGGTTATCAATCTTAGGTTGTGACTGATAACGGAGTTCAGGTATTGCCAGCCCAATCCTCCTGATAAAGTCCCCTGATATGGTTTGGCTCCCTGTCCCCACCCAAATCTCATCTCGAAATATACTCCCCATGTGTCAAGGGAGGGAGGTGACTGGATCATGGGGGTAGTTTCCCCCATGCTCCTCTCATGATAGTGAGTTTCACAAGATGTGATGGTTTTACAAGGGTCCCCTTCCCCTTCACTTTTGTTTCTCCTGCCGCCATGTAAGATGTGCCTGCTTTCTCTTCTGCCATGATTCTGTTTCCTGAGGCCTCCCCAGTCAGCAAAACTGTGAGTCAATTAAACCTCCTTCCTTTATAAATTACGAGGTCTCAAGTAGTATCTTTATAGCAGTGTAAAAATGGACTAATATATCCTCCAGTTTTTACCCAATGATTCAGCATCTGATGATGATTAGGTGCCTGGATCCACTATTTGATTAAAAGTTGCAATATTGTATATTTCTCTACTGTATTTATTAGAATAAATTCTGCTTAAAAATATCATTTCATAGTCAATTTGTCTGAATCAGAACCAAAGTCCACACATGCTAGTATGTCTCAGGGCTCTTAATCATTGTATATATAGTCTCCACCTCCAACCTCATTCTACTTTTTTGGTAATAAAACTGGGTCATTTGTCTTAAAGCATTTCCCATATTCAATATTTCATCATAGTGACATTCATTCCTCTAGTCCCCTATTTTGACTGAATCCTGATTCAAACCAATCAACTATAAATGGCATTTTCTTCAGACATTCATGAAACTTTAAATATGAACAGAATATCAGATAATTATTTTGTTAGATATGATAGTGACATGAGAAAAAACTTGTTAAAAATATTTTAGGAATTAAATTAATACCATATTATGATACCATATTATGTCACTATTTCATAATTAAAATAAAAATAATTTACCAACTATTTTAATAAAAATAATTAAAACTCATATTATGAGTGACATAATATGGTATCCGGCATTTGTATTTAAATACAACAGGGAAATTAAGTAGGGGGAAAGGAACAAAATTTGCAAAATGTTTTTAATTTTTGAAGCTGGGCTATATGTATATAGAAAGTCATTATTGACTTTTGCATTCTATTTTTTAAAAATTAATCCCTAAAATAGAACTGGTCAACTCTCTCAAATGACTTAAACAGAGTATATTCATATTAGGGGAATTTACTCTTTTAACTATATCCCAAAAGGCTGGATTGCCAGTTATAAAACTAACCTGACTTTTGAGCGTTACATTCCCTTTACTTGAGAGACCTAACAGGCCCTGCACAGTGGCTCACGCCTGTAATCCCAGCAACTTCGGGAGGCGAAGGTGAAAGGATTGCTTGGGCCCAGGAGTCTGAAGCTGCAGTGAGCTGTGATCGCACCAATGCACTCCAGCCTGGGTGACAAAGCGAGATCCCCATCTCTTAAGAACAGACAAAATGAACTCCAACAAAACCAACCAACCAACCACATTCAAAAAATTATATTAAGACCTTTTAGGGATTTGAGTGGAGAGATCAAATTCTTAAAAACAGTGATCAAATGATTAAAAAAAAAAACCTTTAAGAATTAGAATTGTTTGCAAATATGAGCTCTACCAAGACTACGATTGTCGGCTATTATTGACAATGAATTCTTCTGACTACAATATTTGAAAATGTAGCTTTTGTTAATCAAGTACTAGATGCGTAAAGTATTTCATTTGCACCAAATTTTGTGGGAATCAGAATTTTGAAACTGGAAGAGAGAGTTAAAAACCCAGGTCACCTGCTCCCAAAGTGTTTCTTCAGTCCAGGATGTCAAAGACAGACTTAAATATTGGTCTCTGCCTACCATTTAAAACAGAAGGTTTCAAATGACCATGCGATGTTTAACTCACTTAGTAAAGAAAATTTTGAATAAACGAAATACAAGTAATAAAAACCTGGGGTTTTTGTTGTTGTTGAGACGGAGTCTCACTGTCACCTAGGCTGCAGTGCAGTGGCACGGTCTTGGCTCACTGCAACCTTGGTCTCCTGGGGTTCAAGAGATTCTCCTGCCTCAGCCTCCCGAGTAGTTGGGACTACAGGCGCATACCACCACGCCCAGTTAATTTTTTATATTTTTAGTAGAGACGGGGTTTCACCGCGTTAGCCAGGATGGTCTCAATCTCTTGACCTCGTGTTTTGCCCACCTGGGCCTCCCAAAGTGCTGGGATTACAGGCGTGAGCCACTACGCCCAGCAGAATCCTGGGTTTTATTATTCCATTTCATTCCAAGTCACTTCAGAGTAGAGCTGTGAATAAGAATCAAACTGATTGTTCTGACACAATGTATTATTACAGGAAAGCACAATGCTAGAATCTGGCAAACCTGAATGTAAGTCATAATTACTGGGAGACTTGGCCAAGTCACTTCCAGTTTCTCTAGTATGTAGTCCTTCTAGACTACTCAGAGGAGTTGTTTTCACTTTTATGATAAAACTGTTAGTAGTTTGTCCCCTTGCTGTTGGCAGGAGTCAATTTAATTCAACTACTCTGAAAATGTTCGTGAATGCATGAATAAAAAACCTCAAGAAAATGAGTAGCAGCAGCAAACTGGAAATAATCTATTTAGCTGCCCTTTATAAATGCCTCATAACAAAATCAAGCTTGACTTCAATGGAATTTCTAGAAACAGTAAACTATGAGGTATCAAATTATTAAGAAAAATACCTAAATTACAAAGGATTCATGTACATTGGCCATTCTAAATCTTTTTCCCTTTTAGTGTTGAAGCTCAAGGCATTGTCCAAAAAAAACAAACCTTGGAACTTTCAGAAAATGAGTTAAGAAATACAAGGAAAAAAGGCAATTAAGACTAGGAACTTGAAAGCTCAAAGAAAAGGGGAAGGAAGGTTGGCAAAAGACACTCAATGATCCCAGAGGTACAGCCCTAACCTCTAAGCATTTCATCTATCCTAATTTTTTTTAAGTTTCGTTTTAATGCCTGAAATTCCATGAATTCGGCCTAGAAATTAGCAAATACCCTTTGGGAAGAATGTAAATTTTCAGAAGAGACGGGGTTAGCAATCAATAACTTCTTAGTAAGAAATAATGGGAATATATTTCTTTCCTCCTATATCCTGAGATCAGCTACTCTGAGAATGAGTTTCTGATGAAAAGTAAACACTAATTTGGGAACTTGAAGCACTTACTGGGGTAAAGGACAGGCGGCTTAGTACAATGTCACTGGAAAATGAAAAGGAACGAAAGGGAAAATAAAGGATAGCAAACACCTTAATCTACAGAGCTACATGGACTCAGGAAAAACTTTTTTTTTAAACATCAAAAGTTTCTTTAAAAAAATTATCACATATAGTTCAACTATTCTGAAATACAGTCACTGTATTTGGACTACATCAGAGGCCTAAACATAATGTATGCAGTCATTCTACAATAAACTTGTTTCTTCTTAAACTCCTAGTCTACTTTAGGAACACAGTCTTACTGTATTGACAAATGTTGCCCCTAAGTAACATGGGAAACCAAACTTGGTTTCATTATTTGTCCTACAAGAAAATCCCATGCATTTTCTGTTTAAAATACGTAAACAGATTAGCCAGGCACAGTGGCTCATGCCTGTAATCCCAGCACACTGGGAGGCCAAGGCAGGAGGATCACTTGAGGTCAGGAGTTTGAGACCAGCCTGGTCAACAGGGTGAAACCCTGCCTCTGCTAAAAATACAAAAATTAGCAGGGCCTGGTGGCGCATGTCTATAATCCCAGCCACTCGGGAAGCTGAGGCAAGAGAATTGCTTGAACCCAGGAGGCAGAAGGTTGCAGTGAGCCGAGATCACGCCACTGTACTCCAACTTGGGCAAAAGAGCAAGACTCAGTCTAAAATAAACCAAAACATAAACAGATAAAACTCCAATATTTGTGTAATGCACTTATGAAACAGGGATACTTTTAACAAAAAATAACCTATATCTGGAAATAAGCACTTAGGAATTCTACGACAAAAAATACTCCTACCTGGCTGACTGAACCATAGCAACAGACTTTTTTTTCTTTTACCCAATTAAGTAACATTTACCACATAGTGGGTTTTTCTTTTGTTTCGTTTTTTCTTTTTTTGAGATGGAGTCTGGCACTGTCACCCAGGCTGGAGTGCAGTGGCGCAATCTCGGCTCACTGCAATCTCCGCTTCCTGGATTCAAGCAATTCTCATGCTTCAGCCTCCCAAGTAGCTGGGATTACAGGCACGCGCCACCACACCCAGCAAATTCTTTGTATCTTTAGTAGAGACAAGGTTTCACCATGTTGGTCAGGCTGGTCTTAAACTCCTGGACAGGTGATCTGCCTGCCTCGGCCTCCCAAAGTGCTGGGATTACAGGCGTGAGCCACTGTGCCCGGCTCCACAGAGTTTTTATGTGAAAACAAGGACAGTAAAAGAACAACAAACCCTAAAGTCACAAAGTTTATGTTAACCAATCAATTAAATTCTGGAAATTTCAGCAGCACGTTCTTCCCAAAATGCTTTCCAATCAAGTCCTCTTTCTCCAGTAAGAATTCTCACAAACATAAATTGCCTAATTAATAACCTTAATTCTTACAAGTTTACATATTTATGTCATCTGATAAACAGATGCTGGCCAATGTTAAGACTCCTAAGGACTTGGTATTAAAAACCGAAACCTCTCATCAGAATTTCTATTTTTATATCTGTGACTCACCAAACATACTTGGAAATGTCCATTTTCCAAGCTGACTTTCCAGTTAGATTTTAATCTTAAATAAAGTGTGTATGTGGTTTTCTTAAACAAACTGTCACAATGGACAAACTGGATGCCTTTCCATGAATGTCTACTTACCACCCTGATATCACCCAATGAAAAATACAGCACTTACACTTTAATAAATTCTACCAGTAAACATTTTCTGAGTTTTGGTTTCTAGTACCTGCTTATCTAGAGTTAATAATAATCACCTGTTCAACAATTACAGAAAAAAACTAAAGTTCTAAATTTGAAGTATATAAAGAATATTCCTTTAAGAATATAAGGTAGTCAAGATTTCCTTTTACTCAAAAAAAATCACTTCAGAGGTGACCTCCATGTACAAAAGGCAAGATCAATCACATTTATCACTGGACACAAAGGATATTTCAAAGGTATTTAAAAATGGTAATCTCAAAAAGAAAAATTAATTTTAATTTTTCTATTGCATTATCAAGACCACAGTTGCTTAACAAGTTAATTATGCTATTGATACAAAACATACAGTATTTACACAACTGTACAAAATAATTTAATGTTTACAAAAATATTAGAATGTTTAGTTGACTGACACAGTCTTAAGTAATCTCTTCTAGAGAAGTACATAGTAAGACCACTGATTCCCATTTCATTTCTTTTTTAATAAGTCAAAGAAAGGATGCTGCAATGCTTCATCCAAGGTAATTCTTTGAGTTGGATCATATTCTAACATTCTTCGAACCAGGTCAAACAGTTTCTCATGTTCTTCATCATGACAAAGCATAAATTCCTGGGGGAGAAATGTTTTTGTTTTAAAAAAAATTAGTAATAGTGCAAACATGTGGTTTATTTTTTAATCTTTAATCTTTTTTCTTTTACCTTTAATGGTTTGCAGCGTCTCCTAACATATCTACCAGCAGAACTGTGTTCATCCCAATCTAGCTGGTTATGGTGAAAATACTTGCGTTTTCTACAGAAAACAGAAAATCTGGATTAGTAAAATAACAAGAGTCACATCTTTACTCTGCACCCATGAGGGGAGACATAGTAAGCAGCTCTCTCTAGGTGTATAGACTTATATCATATATATGCATACAATTTTTAAAAACCTCAGCAACAATTATATATCAGATACCTTATATCCTCCACTCTGTGAGGTTTTAATTTTTCTATTAAAAAACTTAATTGGATACGTGCTCAACTAAGTTGTTCCTAACTATCATACATGGAACAATGTCAGTTTAAAACTAGGGGCCCCCTGGATTCAGTCCTGTAAATTCTGTTTTCACTAGATCCAGAATGGGGCTAGAAATCTTTAAACTCCCTAAGTGGCTTTTGTGGTGAAGCTGTGTTTGGAAATACTACCTTGTCTAAGAATATACAGCTGGTTAAGGACAGAATAAATTTCACACTTAGAGTGGTATGATTCCAAAACACAAGCTTTTTCATATTCTATGTATTATTTTTACATCACCTTAAGAAAACATTTATGCAAATGTAAACTTGAGTTTAAAAAACAAAACAAAACAAAACAAAAAACCCCAAAAGCCATTTTGTTTACTAGATCAGTGGTCCTCAACCTTTTTGGAACCAGGAACCGGTTTCATGGAAGCAGATCCGGGGAGGAGGGATGATGGTTTGGGATGAAACTTCCACCTCAGATCATCAGGCATTAGATTCTCATAAGGAACCTGCATGCAACCTAGATCCCTCGGATGCACAGTTCACAATAGGGTTCACATTCCTATGAGAATCTAATGCCACTGCTGATCTGACAGGAGGTGCAGCTCAGGCAGTAATAATGCTCACTCACCTGCCACTCATCTCCTGTTGTACAGCCTGGTTCCTAGGGTTTGGGGACCCTTGCACTAGATCACAAGGTAAATATTTTTTATTATATTAGGTTTTAAAAACACGGCCGAGTGTGGTGACTCACGCCTGTAATTCCAGCACTTCGAGAGGCCGACGCAGGCGGATCACCTGAGGTCAGGAGTTCAAGACCAACATGACTAACGTGGTGAAACCCCATCTCTACTAAAAATACAAAAATTAGCCAGGCATAGTGGTGGGTGCCTGTAATCCCAGCAACTCGGGAGGCTGAGGCAGGAGAATCACTTGAACACAGGAGGTGGAGGTTGCAGTGAGCTGAGATTGCACCACTGCACTCCAGCCTGGGTGAAACAGTGAGACTCTGTCTCCAAAAAAAAAAAAAGGAGTAAGATGCAGTTACAATTTACCTCCAGTACAGGGAAAAAAAAAAAAGTCAAAATCTATAGTCCTTGGAATGAGCATTACAACAACGTTGGGTTTTCTGTAGTCTGAATATATGCTACTGCACGTATCCAACAAAAGGCTTTAATCTTAAAAACATACCTTGTTTTCTGAATCATGTGTTGTGGTATGGGTCCTAATATTCGTTCCATCATTGCCAGGTGCTCTTTACTATCATGAGTCTAAAAAATACAAGAAAAAGAAATTTAGCACTCTGCATTTCCCTACAAACACATTAACTTGTTCAATCTAAAATTTCAGTTTCCTTCTTTATTTGTATTTCTTATACTGTTTAAAGAATAACTGGGCAAGATTACCAGAAAAACTGTCTCCTCATTTAATCAGCTGCTTAATGAAAATTAACAACCAGTACCCAATGAATAGTTCACTTGTAAACACTTACTATCCCAGGCAACAGACACACAGTCCCAATAATTCTCTAAACAATTCTGAGTGAGGTATGTGGGAACATGAATTTCAAAGATGTTAAGATACTACCTCAAAGTCATATAGCTCATATATGAGGAAAGTGAAGCTATCAACCCATGTCAAAGCACATATCCTTAAATTAGACAGTAGCAGAGCCTTGGGTCAAGTATAATACAGAAGACTATCAGACTCACAGCTGGAATGTATGCTTCTACAGCAGAGGGTGGCAAACTTTTTTTTTTTTTTTTTTGAGGCGGAGTCTCGCTCTGTCACCCAGGCTGGAGTGCAGTGGCCGGATCTCAGCTCACTGCAAGCTCCGCCTCCCGGGTTCATGCCATTCTCCTGCCTCAGCCTCCCGAGTAGCTGGGACTACAGGCGCCCGCCACCACGCCCGGCTAGTTTTTTGTATTTTTTTTAGTAGAGGTGGGGTTTCACCGGGTTAGCCAGGATGGTCTCGATCTCCTGACCTCGTGATGAGGGCGGCAAACTTCTATAAACAGCCGGACAGTAAGTATTTCAGGCTTGGCTGGTCACGAATGGTCCCTATTGCACATTCTTCTTCTTTTTGTAAGAACAGGCACCAGGCAGGATTTCACCATGGGCCAGAGTGTGCTAACCCTTGTTCTGGAGAGCAGAGGCTTTATGCAATACTTTTAGAAGGAATCTATCAACTAGTGCACCTTGCATATTGCTTCCAAATCGTGATACATGACAGGAATAAATAATACTAGCTTCACATTTTAAAGAAATTCCTTAGTTTAAGAGTATTTTGCAGGGTGGAGTTAAAATATAACTCACCTCTCCGATAACGTGTACTTCATTTAAAACTCAAAGTGATTTATAATCACAAAATCACCTGAAGCATCCATTTAAAGTCAGATGGAAGCATTCACTTTGCTTAACTTTTTCTTGACCCTCCAGCTCACCACTGCAAAACCAGACAACACCTCCCAGAACTGACTGACAATCGTGATTCTAAGACATCAAACTTATCTATAAACTCGGAGCACTGTTCAACAGGATCTCTACGGATGAGACAGAAACAGAAACCTGGTGAGGTGCCCCACAAACAGTGAATCCATCGCTGTGCACTGCTGCCAAGTGACTCTCAGCTCATCACAGCTGCACACCCCCGCCCCGCTCTAACTTCAAACCAGCCTCAACAGTGCTGAGCTGGGACCTCCAGCCCCTCTTCCCCAAACAAAACAACACAACACCTTCATCATACCACAACCCTACTTAAAGTTCTTCAATGGTTGCATCACCTAAATCTTTCAAGAATTTACATTTCAGGCTGGGTGTGGAGGCTCACACCTGTGATTCCCAGCACTTTGGGAGGCCGAGGAGGGCAGATCACTTGAGGTCAGGGGTTCAAGACCAGCCTGGTCAACACAACAAAACCCTGTCTCTACTAAAAATACAAAAAATTATTGTGGTGTGGTGGTTCATGCCTGTAGTCCCAGTTACTTGGGAGGCTGAGACATGAGAATCACTTGAACCTGGGAGGCAGAGGTTGCAGTGAGCCAACATTGCGCCACTGCACTCCAGCCTGGGCAACAGAGTGAGACTCTATCTCAGGGAGAAAAAAAAAAATTAGATTTCAGATGTAGGTACAACTTAAGGACAGAATGCAAAAGAAAGTAGTTTCCTACTTTTTGTTTTACCAATTGAGGACTTTTTATTTTAAAAGCAAACTACCAACAACTATGACTATAATTACATAAAAGAGACATTAAAAAAAAAAAAAAGCAGGAGGGATAATCTAATCTCTAAATAATGGTCAGAATGGCAACCCTAGACAACCATTTTCATTTTGGACTAGTCTACTTTTGGAAACCACTAACTTCTAGGATCAAACCAATACCCTGCAAAGTCTTTGAAGTCCTTTATGAATTGGTCCTTGCCTACTGTTCTAATTTTCCCATTTATACAGGACACTGACAACGCTATTCTACCCCGAGTAGAGTATGTTCATTCACTCCTCTATGCATTTACAGATACTATTTCCTCTTCCTTATATGCCCACTGCACTCCAGTTTTCTAACTCCTCCTCTTCTTCCTATGTTCTCAGTGATGCCTTCTCTAAAGAAAGTAATTATTAACCTTTCCTGGGTTCTCCCTACCTACACTTTGGTTTTTTTATTTTTTTAATTTTTTTTGAGACAGAGTCTCACCCTGTCACCCAGGCTGGAATGCAGTGGCGCGATCTCCGCTCATGCAAGCTCCGCCTCCTGGGTTCATGCCATTCTCCTGCCTCAGCCTCCAGAGTAGTTGGGACTACAGGCATCCGCCATGACGTCTGGCTAATTTTTTGTATTTTTAGTAGAGATGGGGTTTCACCATGTTGGCCAGGATGGTCTCGATCTCCTGACCTCGTGATCCACCTGCCTCGGCCTCCCAAAGTGCTGGGATACAGGCGTGAGCCACCATGCCCGGTCCTCCCTATCTACACTTTCTACATTGTTCCATCACAGCAAATGCTACACTATACTGCAATAGTTTTCCAATGTCTTTTGCATGACTTGAGGAAGATGTTGTCTCTTCACCCTTATGTACTTATACTTAGAAATGCCTAGGACATTATAGATGCTTAATACTTTAGAGTAAAATACAATCCCTTGTTGTTCCTGAATTCTTTTATAAAAAGGAATAAGTGACCCGTAATGGCACATTGACAGTCAACATAACCAGAACTGAAAACTGACCACATTAACACTGCTGCAAACTTATGAAGGAGCTCCACAACGTAAAAAAGGAGACAGTATGAACCATACATGAACCATGCGTTACAAACACTAACCACATGCAAAATTAACCATGATCACTCACTCATAGTAATATTTCATTCAACTGTGGTTTTAAAGAATGACCATTTTGCAAATGTAAGTTTTAATCTCAAGAATAATGATGTATGGCAATTTTCCAATATGGAAGTCAACACTTTAGCATGCCTTTAACGTTTACAATTTGTTGTGAATTATTAAATGGGATTTACTAGCCACGTACCTGAAAGACTGTGAAACCAAGGTAATATTCAATAAGAATGCAACCTATGCTCCAAACGTCACAAGGCTGAGACCAACCTAAAGCTGTTTTAACACAAACAGAAACATTTTACTATGGAACAACTTTTAATTCACAGTACATTAAATCCTCTATATGGGTACTCCCTTTACAGAACCCATTTGGGAGAATATGACACCAAATTCAGGGTTTATATTTTTAGTTTTACAGCAAATGCTATTCAACACACTCTCATGGTCCATATGCTCACATTAAGACACAGTATTCTAACTAGGGAGGGGTGCATGCTATGTAAAATAAAAGGGGGACTACCATTTTCCAAGTATACAACCAATTCGTGCAAATATTCCAGTCTCTGAACTGTTTATATGATGGGAGTGCACTGCTCTTGAAACCATTATTATGCTCAGTTCACGGTTTGTCCAAGAATTTTTATATTTTATTAGTACAAATGTAGGTTTATAATTATCCTCAGAATGAAATTACTAATCCGTTATCAATTATTAGCTTGATGCATGAGTTACTTCTTCCATTAAGAGAAATACTACTGTTTTGCACAAATTATATAAAAAATGTAATGGGAATTATAAGCAGTGTCACCTATAAGCAGAAATTACAGACCCACTGGAGCTCAGAGAAGGATCTATATATAAACATCAGGGCTGTCTATACATGATTTTATATACTTTCTCCTTCAGAATTCTCAATGACAGTATTATTCAGATCAGAATAAAACATCTAGTCGCCTTAAATCTATAATTAACTGGGAAGGAGAAAGAACCAACCACATTGATATTTTAATCTTTCAAAGATCAAATATTTAGTAAAAAAAACAAATGTATACATAAAATCTACATTCAAAGACATTTCAATTACTTTCAGTATCACTGAGGTTAAAGATAAAGGAAGAAATATATTCAAGTCAATATATATTGACTGTGACTTAAGTCATTTTTGTTAACCCCCCCACCCCAGTGTCTATCATTTGAACAAATGGATAATAATGGAGCATGGGCCAGGTGCGGTGGCTCATGCCTATAATCCTAGCACTTTGGGAGGCCAAGGAGGGTGGATCACGAGGTCGGCAGTTCGATACCAGCCTGACCAACATGGTGAAACCCCATCTCTACTAAAAATACAAAAAAATTAGCTGGGCATGGTGGCAGGTGCCTATAATCCCAGTGCCTAGGAGGCTGAGGCAGGAGAATAGCTTGAAACCAGAAGGCAGAGGTTGCAGTAAGCCGAGATTGCTCCACTGCACTCCAGCCTAGGCAATAAAAGCAAAACTTCATCTCAAAAAAAAAATAAATAAATAAAATATATAAATGAGCTGGGCGTGGTGGTGTGTACCTATAATCCCAGCTACTCAGGAGGCCGAGGCAGGAGAATCGCTTGAACCCGGGGACAGAGGTTGTAGTGAGGTGAGATTGCACTACTGCGCTCCAGCCTAGGTGACAGAGTGAGACTCTGTCTCAAAAAAATAAACAAACAATGGAGCATGGTTTCTACCTATTAACACATATAAAGTCTGTAAATGATAGAGCTTGGACCTCATAAAAGTTTTCTTTTTAGATCAGGCACCGTGGCTCACACCTATAATCCCAGCATTTTGGGAGGCCAAAGCAGGCAAATCACGAGGTCAGGAGTTGGAGACCAATCTGGCCAACACGGTGAAACCCCATCTCTACTAAAAATACAAAAAATTAGCTGGGCGTGGTGAAGGGGGCCTGTAAGCCCAGCAACTTGGAAGGCTGAGGCAGAAGAATCACCTGAACCCAGAAGGCAGAAGTTGCACTGAGCCGAGATCGCGCCACAAAATCACACTTCTTTGATGCATTTAGCTAACAGAGCCTGTTTTCTTATGATCATTTAAGATTTACTTGTTCAAAAATAACCACCACCTGAAATATCTTTCACAGGCAGTATCACATGTTTACCACTCAGGAAAAGTACAGCAATGTCCACACATTTTTTATGAAAACAGAAAACGTTTTCGGAATCCTGCTAAGAAGATCATACTTCCCCACACCACCAGTAAAGCTGTAAAGAACAAAAATCTCTTATTCAATTATAATATCAGAAAGACTGGTGTCTTGTCTACTGACCCAAAATGACCTCAGGAGCTCTGTAGTGCCGGGTAGACACCAAAGTACTGTGATGTTCATCATCATACGTTGCACTTCCAAAGTCAACAACTTTGATATCTGTGTTTTTCAGTGTGCGTTCATCACGTTTCTAGAGAGATACAGTTGAGTAAATATGAAATTCAACAGATATGAAATATTTTATAGCACTACTCAAAAGGCCAGCACATGAATTATCTTCTTGATTGTCAAAATAAGCTCATGAGAAAGGCAAAGAAGGATTACTTCTTTTCGGTTAAACATCAGGATATAATGAAGCTCAGGAGTGAAATTCCTCATCCAAAGATCATCAAGTTAAATTAATTTTAAAGACAACCACCAAAAGTAAAACAAGTCTTTAACTTACCATTTTAGAATTATATTTGACTACATAGTCAGACTTCACAAATAAAATATTTTCAGGCTTCAGATCTGTATGGGTTAATTTATTATGATGTAGAACTACAAGAGAACAAAAACACATTATTAGTTTCACTTACAAACTTAATTTGTACTACCAGGAAAGGAGGACTGGCAAAGGATACAGTGGTTAAGAGATGTTTCACCTTTACTTGTAAAATGTCTATTTTTTTAGTGACAACATTTGGATATATAGCTTTTATAATAAAAACAAGTTTCCTGGTGCTTAAAGATTTATCTTAATTGTTAAGGAGGTAAAAACACAAAAAAATATTTAAAAATAGAGATTTATCACCGGCCATGGTGGCTCATGTCTGTAATCCCAGCACTTTAGGAGGCCGAGGGGGGCACATCACCAGGTCAGGAGACCTAGACCATCCTGGCTAACACTGTGAAATCCTGACTCTACTAAAAATACAAAAAATTAGCTGGGCATGGTGGCGGTCGCCTGTAGTCCTAGCTACTCAGGAGGCTGAGGCAGGAGAATGGCGTGAACCCAGGAGGTGGAGCTTGCAGTGCGCCAAGATAGTGCCACTGCACTCCAGCCTGGGCGACAGAGCGAGACTCCATCTCAAAATAAATAAATAAATACATACATACATACATACATACATACATACAAATAAAGATTTATGAAGTGTACTTACAATTTATTGACTGGCAGATCTGATATGCCATCTGCCTGATGTGGTCAATTTGAAATGGCAGAAAGCTGTTTTCTTTAATGAAATCGTAAGTACTAAGCCCCAGCAGTTCAAACACAATACAAACATGACCATGATGATCAAACCATTCCAGCATCTGGACACATCGGCTAAAAGAGAGCAAAATAATAATTCAGTTTACGCAAATCTGAATATTTCACATAATAAGATGGCTCCTAGGTTAAATTTATACTTACAAGACACTGTTGGGATCAGTACTATTTAAGTGCTCTAATACTTGGATTTCTGAACGAGCGGCTTCACGGTAACGGCCTACGTTTTTTACGATTTTCACTGCTACATGCATGCCATCCCTTAAAAATAAAATTAAGATAAAAATGATAAATGTACAGGAGTGAGTTGAAGCCATGTTATGCTCTAAAGCATAATCTTAATTACCAGTTCCTCTATGTCTTTTAAAATAATCTTTCAGAACACATTATAGCAGATTCCATATAACATCTTCTCAAAACATTTTGATAAAATACTTTACATGAAGTGATAATTCCCTTAATACTTATGAGTTTTAACATTTGCTCCCAGAATTTTAAATTTAATTACATTTTATACAACAACAGTTTTAAAATATATACAATTGTAAACCAAAAATAGAATATGCTACTGTTGAAAGTATTCATTCATTTACCAGGCTAGGCCTACTCTGTGCCAGCCAATGCATAGGTATTAGTGATTAAAAGACGTGGTGTGTCCCTACGTACTTCGAAGTCTAATGGAAAAGACAGACACATAAACGACGTAGACTTCTTCACAGAAGAGGCAGCCCAGAACTGAGTCCTGAAAGATAGCTGGGAGTTTGTCAGACTGGGAGGGAAACATCCAGGTAAAGGAGACACCAACTCTAAGTAATGAAGCCCAGAAAAACCTTAGCAGATGCACTGATGCGAGTATACAGAAACAGCTGAAGGGGAGGGCACTGGGCTTTAGACTGGGGAATCTGTAAGAATGCTTCCTAAAAAGCATAGAGCCGTGAATGTTTCAAATCTTCTACTTCTTTTTGTCTTCCTTTTTTTTTTTTTGAGACGGAGTCTCACTCTGTCGCCCAGGCTGGAGTGCAGTGGCCGGATCTCAGCTCACTGCAAGCTCCGCCTCCCGGGTTCATGCCATTCTCCTGCCTCAGCCTCCCGAGTAGCTGGGACTACAGGCGCCCGCCACCTCGCCCGGCTAGTTTTTTTGTAGTTTTAGTAGAGACGGGGTTTCACCGTGTTAGCCAGGATGGTCTCGATCTTCTGACCTCGTGATCCGCCCGTCTCGGCCTCCCAAAGTGCTGGGATTACAGGCTTGAGCCACCGCGCCCGGCCTTGTCTTCCTTTTTAAACCTAATCTACCTACACATGAGCCAGCATTCAAGCCTTCTTTTTCACTATGGCCCTTCCACTTTACAAAACCATACCCATCTCTTACTAGTATAACAAGATGTATGCCCTAGGCTATAAAAAACATTTGGGGCAAACAAACACGTATTCTAATGGCTGGATACGAAACCTTTATCCGCATCCAGTGGTTTTCCTATTCATTTCCTATTCACTGCTTTCAACAAGGCCCCAATGACTGTGAACTGATAAGTCACTAAACAAATTTTCTGATGTTTGGCATACACCTCAAGACTTAAAAGAACTCTAGTAAGATTACTGTGACAAAGCTTCTACTCCTATCTATTTAATTATATGACCAAAAAGTTTTCTCAGTGCTTGTATCCATAAAAACGAAAAAAGAAAACAAACAATGCTAAACAGTCAGATATTTATCTATGGCTACATGTCTTCATTTTTTTAGAGGCCTCAACCACCCCAAGAAAGGAAACATTCCAGGCCAGATATGGTGCAGGGGTGTGCCACATGTGACTACAGGTTCGTGTAATCCCAGCACTATGGGAGGCTGAGGCAGGAGGATCACTTGAGGCCAGGGGTTCCACACCAGCCTGAGCAACATAGTGAGACCCCATCGCATTAAAAAAAAAATTGTTTTAAAGATACATTTCATTAAATACACCAAGACTTAGACTTTCAAGAAATTCTAAAAGGACATTAATGGGATGACTAGTGAAATCTGAATATAGTCTGCAGATTAGTTGGCAAAATTTGAAAACATATGTATGTATAATGATAAAGTAAATCTTATAAAATGTTAACATTTGGGAAATCTGGGTGAAGAATACATGGGAATTCTTTGAACTATTTTATTAACTTTTCTGTAAGTCTGAAAATATTTCAAAATACTTTAAAGTTCAATTTACCTTCACATATTTGTTACAGAAAAGCAAAATGTGGGGATAATTTAGGAAAATATTTATGGAAAGTGAAATGAAAATAAATTCAATAAAACATTTCTAAGTATTCAAGAAGAGTTTGTTTATGGATGATGGTAGGTGCCACGCTGCTATGGTATTTAGATTCCCTCAAATGCATTTAAAGAGAGGTAAGCTTTATTTCTTAATATTAATATTTACATCCAGTTGGAAATTACATCCTTCCCAAATAATTTATGATAAAAAATTTCAAGTCATTTTAGAAATGTGTAGTTTCACTAAAGTTCTAAGAGCTTCACTTACAAAAAAGTTTGCAAGCCACACAATAGAGGTCCTAGAGGAAAGCAGTAAAATGAGGCAGAAAGGGTCAAATCACAAACTTTATTCTCTAGGCCCTAGATGATAAAATTTCGTTACAGTTTAGGAAGCTAACTCTTAACATTTAAGATTAGACATGCTTTATTGCCTCTGCAATCTGAAATTGCCAAATCTTGTATACAGGGTCAAGGCCCTCAGTTCTAGAGTTCTGGGAAATTCCTTCACTTGAACATCCACTTTAATTTCAATGATTTCCCCGCTGAAATTGGTCTTTTTTTTTTTGAGACGGATTTTCACTCTTGTCGTCCAGGCTGGAGTGCAATGGCGTGATTTTGGCTCACCGCAACCTCCGCCTCCCTCCCCTCCCGGGTTCAAGTGATTCTCTTGCCTCAGTCTCCCAAGTAGCTGGGATTACAGGCACGTGCCACCACACCTGGATAATTTTGTATCTTTAGTAGAGACAAAGTTTCTCCATGTTGGTCAGGCTAGTCTCGAACTCCCAACCTCAGGTGATCTTCCTGCCTTGGCCTCCCGAAGTGCTGGGATTACAGGCGTGAGCCACTGTGTCTGGCAGTCAGCATTCTTAAGATCCACGTTCATGGTAAATTAATCATACACAGTTGGAGAAATTTTGGTAAGTAATTTACCCCCTAAAACACGTGGCTACCATTTAAAATATATTCCATCTTGGCTGGATACGGTAGCTCAGGCTTATAATCCCAACGTTTTGGGAAACTGAGGCGGGTGGATCACTTGAGGTCAGGAGTTTGAGACCAGCCAGGCCAACATGGTGAAACCCCATCTTTACTGAAAATACAAAAACTAGCTAGGTGTGGTGGCAGGCTCCTGTAATCCCAGCTGCTCCAGAGGCTGAAGCAGGAGAATCACTTGAAGCCAGGAGACAGAACTTGCAGTGAGCCAAGATGGCGCCACTGCACTCAAGCCTGGGCAACAAAGGCCCTATCTCAAATAAATAAATAAATTAATTAATTAATTAAATAAAATTTCATCTAAATTATGAATCTTTCCCCACCAAAAATATCAGAATGTTCAAAAAGGAAAAAACAAACTTACATGCCATGATCAATGCACTCTACAACTTTGCCAAAGGCTCCTTCACCCAAAGTGTCCACGATTTCATCTAAAGTGAGGAGGGAAAAAGAGGTGTAAGTACCTGAGTACAAATTGTCTAGTTATTCAAACAATGAATGCTTAAGTGTGGAATATTTTCAAATGATCTCTATCAAAGCATAACTAAGGTTTCAGCACTCAAATTATTTTAGTTTCAGCTGCTACAAAAACAATTAGATAGAGCTATCTTTCTTGCTCTAATCTCAAATTCCACTGATTATTTTGGAACTTTAGAATAGAAATATTTAAATTCTACAGAAAAGAAGAAATACAAAAGAACAAACAAACCCACAAAAAACAAAATAAAAAAGCAATGAAGAGTTCTTTAGCCCCCCGCTGACAAACTATTCTTAAAAAGATTATTCTTTCTGCAAAGTTTAAAAAGTGTTGAAAAATATTCTATACATCTTGCTCTTAGAACGTCTCCACTTTGACAGATCAGGTGACCCTCCTCATCATCCTCTATACTCCTGGATCTTTTCCTTCGGTGGCTCTTCTGGAACGGCAAGTGGGCAGCACCAAGATCGTCCAGCCAATCAATATATCAGAGTGAATTCAGGGCAGAATACGCAATTCATTCAGCGGGGAGATATTCAGGCATTCAGATAAGCACCAGGCCACGAACAGTTGGCAGGAGCAATTTCAAATTCAGTCCCCAGAAATTCACAGGGCACAGTTTATGTTACAGAAGAAAAACATGGCAAGGAACAGATTTTCAGATAAGATACTTAAAGTGGCAATAGAAAAAAACAACACAATTGTCTCTTTAAAATACTGATTTAATTGAAGTCTGAAATTTAAAGAATGCAATGTCATGATTTACTTATCTCTTGCTATAAACAGCATATGCTGTGAATTGAGATGTCTAGTTTGTCAGAAAAATGTTTTAAAATGTCAAGACTATTTGAAATTATTCTAATTTAGCAATAGTTTAAAATATACATGATGAAAATAAAAGGGGAAATAAAGGCTAGTTAATTTCAATGTTCAATCTAATAAAAACTAGTTTTACTGAAGAAAACTTGGGGAGAAACTAATTCAAAGTTCACTGTTCAAGCAGGTGAAGATGTCTGAGTATAAAAAAAAAGGGGAGTGGGCAGACTATTTGGATGTTTCCCATTCAGCACCCATTTTCACAACTTCAAAAGAATTCACTGCAGACAATGATGCACTGTACTATGGAACTATGCTCTATGTTAGGTTAGTAACATTTAGGTATCCACCAGTGCAATGTTTCACATTTGTTTTCAAGTACCAGATAAAGGGTTTCTAAGGGGGAAAAAAAACGCTTAAGATGAAAGATGGGTGCATGATTTTTTTGTAAGAATATGTTACAAATACAAAAATATTTTTATTATTAAAATCAATAAACTCATGATCTGGTCTGCAGAATATGAGGAAATGTGGGCAAATGAAGGCTAATAAATATATAGATCAGTGACAAGAATCTGGAGGTTTCCTTTAAGGATTTGAGTAACATAAATACAATTATAATATATCCAAATAGTATTTTATATATATATAAACAATTAGAAACTTATCAGCTCATTAAGAGTACACACAAATAAAACTCCACTCAAAATAAAAACAAAATCAATCATACCGAACGTGACTGATGACTTGAACAGTGTCTATTGCGCTTCCTTTTAGGACTGCTTCTCCTGCTGCGGACTGAAGATTTACTGCAGTGGATTCGATAACCGCTTTCAATGTCTCTGGGATAATGTCTAGGAACATATCCTTCACAGTAGTCATTCCTGTATTCGTCAACGTATCTCCGGTCCCGATAATCTCGCTCATTCAAGGACCTTGCTTCTAAATAATGACTGCAAACACATTAAAAGATTTCAAATTATTCTCTTCATTCTGCAATAATGTGGTTCAAACAAAACATTTTTCTCAAAAATTCTTGGTTTAAACAGCTAACTCAATATAAGAAAAAAATTCAAACAGATGAATTAACATTTATATTTATCTCACAAAGCTTAAGAAACAATTTTACTTCAACAAACAAGCAAATGGGCCCATTATAGAGATTGCTGACAAGCATTTCACACCGAGGAATAAAGCTTGAGTCACATCATTAATTTAGGTCCAGTGTTTACTTGATTAAGTGTTCCTTTACCTTCTGCACCTGTATCTAAACTGTCTTAATCTCTCACAGAGGTACAATCAGAGGCAGGCAAAAAGGATTCCTTTGTCTTTTAATGTAAGAGCATTTTAGTAGATATCCCTGGCACACAGAGAGTTCTTTCATGAAAGGTACATTAGAGCTATAAGGAGCCTTAAATGTATTCCAGCCCTTTCATTTTACCGACGACTAAATTAGGATCCCCAGAAGAAAAATGATTTGCCAAGGTTGTATAGCACATTAGTGACAAAAACTAAAATATTTTCTAACCGCTATTATACAAGCCAATTTTATTACACACATCATCTATCATGTCTCCTCTACTCTTTGCATTTCTAGCCTTGTTATTCCTGTTTGAGGTATAGACAACGTAGCTTTTGAGGACTGCCTCATGTGCCAAAGGCATCTAAAATATATCCCCCTAAAGAACGAAAGGGATCCTGCAGTTTAGAATTACAGTAGTTCTACCACCGTACTTCCCTTTGTATTTCTAATTTCCTGTCATTCCTGTTTGAGAAGTATGTAAGAAACAACAGAAACCACCATCCTCTAGTGCCATAGTGCTTTAATCTACAGATCCCTTTGAAAATCTGCTGGAAGCCATAGACTTTCTTCCCCAAGAAACACATAAACAAAACTTGGCAAGGATTTTCATAGGTCATGGACCTCAGGATGTCAATGGATCCCAGTTAAGTAGCCTTGATCTGATGGAAAGAAAAGGACATAGATTCATTTGGCCCAGTTTCCCGTCCCCCTCTCTACCTGGGATGAGTGTCCTCTTCAACAGAGTGCGAAGCTTCAAGAGGGATGCACATGGAGCACTGAGGGAGAGAGGGGACACCTGCCCAGTCAGACAAATCGGCTAAAATAATCCTAACAAGCAATGGAGTGACGGATGTTGACTAGATTGCCCTCACCAACCCCTTTCCTTTCCCCAGAGTATGATGTCATTCTTTTTCCCAGGGGGCTCGTTTTGGCAGAAACAGAAGCATCTTTACAACTACTACCCAATAGGGTTAGTATCAAATCCAGGCTGGGGAGATACAGAAACCTGGTTCTCTTTCCCTAGCGTCAGCTTTAAGTGGTATTTATTGGAGAAACAACTCCGGATATTTGGGTAAGACTGTGGGCAGTCTAGGTTAGAGATCTGATCAGTTGGCTTGGAACTGTCAGGGAGGGACCACCAACACAATCAGCTAGAAGTGACCGTACTCTTAAGGGCATCCTTCCCATAAAAGTCCAAAATCCTTCTACTAGAAAAAACTAACACTAACAATCTTTAGCTGGAATACGGCATGAAGTTAGAGCTGCTAAGCCATAAACAATAATATAGAGTAACAAAACATGGAGTGAACACCATGAGGACAAACTAAAAGGATGAGAGTCTCTTCAATAGACAATGGCCAATGACCAAGGCTGAGAGATTACATAAACAAAGTCTACAGAATTACACAAGCTATGGAAAGGGTAGACAGGATGAACAGACTGATTTAATTTTTTGAAAATATCCACTGAATGCCCAGTGAATATTTCACTATAGCCTTTAAAATAGACAAGATGGATGAGGGTAAGGGCATTCGTTTTTATATATCCACAGGTCCTGTGGGAGATAAAAAAAAAAATTATATAAGGCAAAGTCCCTGCCAACAAATAATGAACAATTTGAGATTACTCACATAAAAATGAAACAAAATCCAACAATGTAGGAAATTCTAAAAAGTTACAACACATGAGTGCTTAGAGTCAGAGATGGGGAAAAAAATCTGTTTACAATGGTCAGAGAATAATTACAAAAAAGATGGAAATAGAGTTGCATCTTAAAGGGAAGCCAGGATTTGGACAAAATAGAATACAGAAGAAATTCCAGTGGAGAAGAATGGCATGTTACCATCTTAAATTCATATGGCACTTTCAGCCACAATGGCTTAGAGATGGATTTGTCTATGCATTACTCAGGAAAAAGACAATCCCGGCAAGAGCAATTTTCACACAGGGGAATGTAGACAAATAAGTAAGCTGAGAATAGCATCATTAAAAGCCCTGCATGCTATAGCCGGCTAAAGAGTATTTCTCAAAAGACGGTCTATTTATCAGCAATATCAAATATGGAGTTCTTATTAAAAATGGTAACCCTGGGCCTCAAGTCATACTCACTGACTCTAAATCTGGTCAACATACCTCCAAGGTGATTCTTATTCACACTAAAGTTGGAGAATCACTGCTTTAAGACTTGATACTTTATGTTACAGGCTTCTACGCACAATATAAAGATAGGGTTTACAGTCACATCAGTCTTTCTAATGCGGAATGGATTAACTAAGCCTGTAGAAAGGGAGACCAATTCACACGCTACCTCCAAAAGACAAATCATAAAGAAAAGACACTATGCAACATATATATGACAAATGGTTAAAATAATATGTCACAAAAAGCTCTTCTAAATCAATAAAATATACTTTAATAAACAGGCTAAGAATAAAAAGATGTTCAAATGATCCATACTTATATGACAGTGGACAAATCTGTCAGAAATTTAAAAATTCAGTTTAATCAAAACATTATTCTTGGCCTTTCAAAACAGCCAAGATTGGTGAGAGCATGAAGGGGCACGTTGTAAAATTTGGCAAACATTCTAGAAAAAGAAATATGAACCTGTAGCAAGAAACTTTTAAGAGTTCATATCCTTTACCTTAAAAATGCTTCTTCTTGGAGTGTATTTTCAAGAAATAATCAGCGGCAAAGATTTAGAAACAAAGATTTTTTTTTTAAATTATAATTTTACAGCTAAATAATGGGGACTAATATCCTATAGAGATTATCATCTTTATACTTTTCTGCATTTTTCAGTTTTTTATTTTATAAAAACACTCAAAGTTTTTGATCTTCAAAATTAGAATATTCTGGATTATGGTGAATGTTGACCACCAAACACATCTGGTACCAATGTCAAAGAAGGTATTGGCCTGGTAGTTAACTGGACTCAGTATCATGTTTATGTAATTAACTATGAGCATGAATGAACTGTTCATCACTCGTATCACTTCCTTTCTACATACATAACGTATAATTATCCTATTATCCTATGAGTAACTAGTTGTTAAGCCTTAGGGTTTTTTGTATTTATTAATAGTGGGGTACAGATAGTTTTCTTTAGTATACTGTACATTAATTATTAATTATTTCTGGTCTTTGAAATCCTGTCATAAACCTTCCCACTTCCCCTTATATAACAATGTGTATGAAGCATGATTTGTCTGCACTGACTACAAATAAGCTCAGTTTGGCAGAACAAGTCTGTTAACGTGGAGAAGGAAAGAAATTACATACTGTTTTTTAAAGTAACCCCAGCTGGCTAATTTAGAAAGCAATCTGGTAAACAGTCCCAATGGAACATCTGCACAAAACAAGAAGAAAACAGAACCAACAAAACAAACGAAAAAGGGAAATTAATGAAACAGTGAAAGAAACCTACCTAGCCTTTCTTTAATCATTTAGAACTTTAAGATTCCTTTAATTCTATATAAATATATCACCTCCAAATTTTACACTGGTAAGAATACAACACAACAGGACACATGCTGTTGCAAGTTTTTTATTGAGGCCATTTCCCAAATTACTAGCTACTACCTATGAAAACAATAGTTCTTAAATAAAGCCAGCTTCCAAAAATCCCAAACATATCCCTTGGCCTCATCTACAAATATAACCTGTTCAATACAGTGTAAGTGACTAATAATACATGTTGCTTTTCTCTGTTGGAGTAACTCCTCCCCTATAAAACCCTATCTGATTTCTGAAACACTTAATGAGCACTACAACATACACGTCTCCCTCTTTATTAAAGGTATGCATTGGGCATTCGATCACTATTACTTAACTTTTTGTGTGTCATCTCCCTAGTCACGTTACTGGCAGCTGGGACTCACCATGTTATTTAATACATTTTACATTCACTTACTGATCAACTGTCTCCTACCACTCCCAGGGAGACAGACATACATAAGGATAAGAACTTTGTTTTATCACAGCTGCAGCCTCAGCACCTATAATCTAGTCTAAAATAAGTACTCAAATATTTTCTAAATGAGTATTTGTTGACTGAATTATAAAACAATTTGACAGATGAAAGCTATACAAGCAAATGACAAATCATTTAAAACTATTAGAGCTACAATGCTACTAGTTCAAGAGTTGATTTACCAATCAGATTCTTTAAACTGGTGACATGGTTTACAATGCCTGTTCTCTTGTGTGCTACTATGAGATCTCCTCTTCCGCTTGTGACTTCCACGGTAGCTTTCATGTCCCCAGCTTTCTCTGCTATCCCAATCAGGGCAGTGAGTTCGTTTGGAATGCCGCATCTATTGATAGAAATGAAAAGGGAATTGTGGGGGTTATAGATGTGTGATAGGTAAAATATTATATATTAATATTATTTATCAAAACCCTACACACAGGGTCTTAGAGGCTCCAAATTCTTTTTAGGTGGTAATGTTTCCCAAGGCACTGGTATGTCAGATGACTGCTAAGAGGCATAGAGATCTAGTATTAAACTGTGGGTAATACTGATACCTTAAGACATTATTTTTGAATTCTGATTATATCCAGGACAAATTCTCAGCTTGGTGCTTTTCTTCAACTAACACTTGCAAACTGACTTTTTAAAAATTAAAAAAAAAAAAAAAAAGGGGCCAAATGAAAAGGTTCAGGGTACCGTTTCCAGCGGACAAGAGTATTTAGCTAAAAATTAATAACTTTTTTGTTTTATTTATCTTGTTTTGTTACTTTCTACTTATTAGTGATTTTCCAATTAAGTCATTGACATATTTTCTTTTAAAAATGTTAACATTAAAATGTGAGCTGATTTAAGGAGAAATAATATCACAGTGTCATGCAGCTTTGGCAAATTACTGTAATACAAATAACTTCAGTGCGAGACAAAAATACTTAGGGATACTAAATATGGGAGGTGACTTTGTTTTAACTGTAAAGAGCTATTCAATGATGAAGCTTTTTTTCCTCAAATTCTCCATAGTTCTTTTCTCTAAATCTCTGAATGACTCTAAGCTTTGAGAATATTAGTTCTGTGTGGATAGAACACAATATTCAACAGAGAAACTGAAGACATATAAAAAGGTGATTTTAGGCCGGGTGCGGTGGCTCATGCCTGTAATCCCAGAACTTTGGGAGGCCAAGTCCAGGAGTTTCAGACCAGCCTGGGCTACATATAATGAAACCCCGTCTCTACAAAAAAATTTTTTTTAATGTTTATGTGAATTTATGAACTCATTTTCTCTATCCAACAAGTTCATTTTCTTATCCAGCAGTTATTCTTAAACTTAAAATCTATTTGTAGTAAATCTGAAGTAACTCTGAAAAAGAAATCAGCCTACAAGGATGCACACTGAAGCATGGTCACAGTGAAATCAAACGCTAACAGCGATATCTGACTCCATTTACAAACTCCAATACATAACCTGGTTCCTTCCAGGCTCAGCATCTGTGCTCAAACAATAGAACCCCTATCTGTCTCTCCCCATCTTAATTATTTTCCAAAGCACAATCAGGTCCAAACTCTGCTAAACAGGGTAGTTTAAATGGTAAAAAGAGAAGAATTTCACACTTCAGTAAGGAGCTGAAAAAAGCTAAAATGGAGTAAAATCCACTTAGTTAACCTCATTCAGCTTTCCCAAATTACTAATAAGCAAACGAATGCAAGTAGAAATTTAAATGATTTTAAATGGATTAAAGGCTTTGAAATGAGGCAGCTTCAATTCTTCTGGGAGGTATTCCACAAGAAAGTATGTATCACACCATCCCAGTCTGATGGCCACCAGATAGTCAGATATTTTAATTCACTCTCTTGCTGATTCTAATTCTATACCCATCAGGCATCCTTCTAATGTGGCTCTTAGCTTACTTTACAGAGGAAGAGAAGGCACTGATCAGGTCAAACAGAAACTCTAAAACTCTTGTTAGCGTCTCAATGGAAGTGAGCACTCCGGTTTGATACAAATGGAGTCACTTCCACATTGGAACGTGAAATGAGTAACAGCACAAATTTACTGGAGGCAAAAGGCCAGAACACAAACTTTCTTCATTAGAGCTATCAAGAAAAATTTACGGTTGGGCACAGCGGCGCCTCATCCCTTGAGCCCAGGAATTCGAGACTAGCCTGGGCAACAAGGTGAAAGCCTGCCTTTACAAAAAATTCAAAAAATGAATCGCACATGGTGACTTGAGCCTGTAATCCCAGCTACTGGGGAGAATCACTGAAGCCCAAGGAAGTCAAGGCTTCAGTGAGCCACGATCACGCCATTGCATTCCAGTATGGACGACAGTGAGACCCTGTCTCAAAAATAAATAAATAAATAAATAAATAAATAAATTTCAAGTGCGATTCTTCTGAACCGTTCCATCAAATACCAAAGTTGTATTTTAACCACATCAGGAACTCAGCTTGGTTAAGTATTTTTAAATCATAGCAAGCAAAATCACATCTGATGACCGAGGGTTATTATTATCAACCTCCATTATTATGAAGTTTTTTCAAGACTTCTGTGTCTGCCTCAGTTTTGTTTTTTCCTCTTCTACTGTAAGTCTGCCACAACCAGCTAACCTCCAGCAAAACAGAATTCTCAAATTATGAGTTAACATGCAAACATTAAAATAAGAACGAGCCCCGTTGTGAGAGTACAAAATTTTTCTCAAGTTCACTACTACAAATTTAATTCAGCTGTTAGTCCTAGCCTCTGACCTCCCCCACTCACCCTGCAACGTTCAAAAATATTTTATCTGGAGGCACAAAGATCATCCCACCCAGGTTCTATGTGGTAAGGTTCCTTCGCATACACAAAAAAGAAGTTATCTAAAATCATGACACTGCCTCTAATTAATAAAGGACCCTGCGTGCTAGAATAACCAGGTATCTTTCAAAAACTAATGACACAATGCATCTCAGATGTAGATCCATCGCCACCGCCCTTAAGATCCTGTAGTTCTTGACAACTTAACGCTATGTACATGGCTTAAAAACATCGAAATAGGTTATAAGTTTAGGATTGGAGGGCTCCAAGAGGACTGCATTTAATGGGTTACAAGCCAGGAGGGGTGTGTAAAAAGCACAATCGCACAGGACAGCTATGAAGCAAGACAAAGTGGCTGGCAAGTTCAGTCTGCGGGGCGGCTTCCTAAGGCTCGTACAAGCATATCTGGGCTATTTAGGCAACCCGGGATAATAAGATGCAAAACTACCAGAAATGCAGGTTCGCTGCAACAATGTGTTCAGTATAGCACAGAGGACTAGCCTCCGCAAATTTCCACCTCTCACAAGCACCTATGCCCTCAACCACCTGGATGTGCGCGGACGCCCGGTACCCACCTCCCGGCTCCCGGGAACCCGGCCAGTGCCTTTGGCGCACTCAACACAGGGGCAAGTGCTTGACTCTGGAAAACCCCCCAAACGTTACAAACGGCCCAGGCCAGGAATCCAGGGAAAGACCTGATCTCCGACATCACGAATGCCGGAGACGGCTCTCGAAAAGTCTCCCGACAGGTCCTCGCGCCCGCCGGCTGGAAGAGGTCCCGACAGGGTTAACCAGGAGCCGCGCTCGCCAGCCAGCAGGGCACGGCCAGCCCAGGGCCTCCGGAGCCGCGACGCGAGCGGCCAGGGCCCTCAGAGAAGGGTCAGCGGCAGAACCGCGACGCCCAGGCAACTTTCGGTGCTTCCGCCGTGCACCAGCCGAGCAGCGCCCCGCAGAACTCCTCAGCTCCACAAGCCCAGGCCCCTAACGCGTCGTTTCTCCGACACCTGGCTCGGAGACCTAAAGACCGACAGCCGCCTGGCCCCGCACACACCACCGGCAACCCTACCTCCGCAAAAGCAAATGGCCCTTCGGGCGAGAAATGTCGCCAAACTGCCGTCTTCCTTTCTCGGCCGCTGCGACAAACACCCCACAAAATGGCGGCAGCGCCGTCGCCCTACAATCCCCCGGGTCGTCTCTAGCGCCACCTACGCCGCGCGAACGCGCCTGCGTGACACAGCCTTGCGCGCTCCCGCCGCTCCACGTAAGGGCGGGGCTCCACGTGACTTAAGAGCGGGACCCGAGCCTCTGCACTGCGGCTGCGCGGCCCAAGCATTTTCCTCCCCCTCCCCCGCCGCCCCCGTCCCCGCCCCGACTCCGTCCCGACTGCCTCCCGACCCCGCCCCGACTCCGTCTCGAGGCCTCCGGGCGGAGAGTGTTTAATGTCTCGACGGGCTTGGGTGGAAGCGGGAAGGAACGCCCGTGTCCCGCCCTAAGTGTGTAACGCGTGTCTGCCCTTTGAGGTGGAGTTATGCTGAGTGCGGCACCTCTCAGCAGAGCCGGCTGGTGCCCGGTTTCCTGGTCTCCCAGCCGAGGGCGCCGCGCCATCACGCTTTGCCTGCCCCTCCCCCGGGACCTGGACTCCGGAAGCCCCCGGCACGCGACCACGGCCCCCAAACCGCCCAAGGCGGGGCCTGGCTGGTGCCTGGGCTGTTCCATGGACTGGGTGCTTGTAGTCCTGCCCACTTGGCGCTTCCAGTCTGAGGTGGATTTGGATAAAGAGGCTGTCCCGGAAAACAAGCGCAAGGGGTGCCTATCTTTTCAAGGCACGTGCTCCTATTCAGAACAAAACAAAAACCAGGAGGTTTCAATGGAGACTCCTGACAAGGTTTTCCTGTCAGGATCCCTACCTCCTGAGCAGAGCAGGGAGCTGGAAGTTTCCCTAACGAAGTTTTCCCCTTTTTTTTTTTTTTTTTTTGGTCCCTGCGGGCTGATTTTATTCAACCAAGGCAGAAAAATGTCTCTGAGCTAGTGAGGGTCTGTTAAGGGGGCTTGCTTACCTCAAATAAGGTATTCTGCAGTTCTGAGAACCCCCAGGCAGTTCCCCCGTGTAAGTATGTAGCATGAGAAATCTTAGGGTCAAAGTCGGAGCCCTATGGGAAACACTTAATGGCCAGAGGAAAAGGGGCCTGAGAAGGAATGATCAGGAGAGGAAGAGAACCAAGACTAGGGTGTCAAAGCAAGGGAGGGCTTAAGTGAGGGAAAGGGTCTAGGTAAGGTTAGACTGCAGATCGTCGAGGGGGACGGCGGGCAGGGTGGGGGGGTGGGGCGGTGGTTCTGTATTCTGACGGGGATTCGCTGGATAAAAGGGAAAGCCAGAAATCAAAATTGGGAGGGTAGGGTTGAACTCTTGTGGGTATTAGCCCAATAGCATGTGGGAGACGTGTTATCCTGTTAGGTAAAAGGAGGGAACAGAAATGCCTTTAGTGATCTAACATCATAGAAACTTATGCCATCTGGTTTGGGTAAGTCGGGTAAATTTAGATAAATCTCGGAGATTGTACAGCATTTCAGAAAGTAAGTTGACATGACGAGTTGAATTTTCATGGAGATTGCACTCCAAGAAGTGAAGTTGAAAAAGAAATTTGAAAAATCGGAAGGGTAAATTGTGCTACAGAATGAAACAAATATTATTTTCGTCTAGAATAGCCACCATTTTTGCATCTACAAATTTAAATCTTACTCATCCTTGAAGGGCCATTTCTTTAAGGTGCTGTCTCTGACATCAGTTCCCATCCATTTCCCTGCCCCTGACTACTCCAGTGAGATGTGAAGTCCTCAAATAGTGGAGTATCTGGAGCCACCTGGTATGCTAACAGATTTTGCCCAAAGAGTGAAATGTATTGGTTCTACAATTGATTACACATCCTATCTCCAGGGAATCTATTAGAATGTTGAGCCGACTGGTCTGGGCGATAGTACAAGGTAGAGTGGGGCTCAAATTGCAGCATATGGGAATGTAAATTCAAGCTGGCACTAAAGAATGTTCTCCTGTTTCATGGAGTATGAGAGATCCTGCCTCATGAGGTTATAAGACTGTGTGGTCAGGACAGCTCACAATTCTGCTCAAAAAAGCAACACTATGTTAAAAAGCAGCCACCTTGAAATGCCACCTACAGAGGCCTTTATATTATAGATGTCACACACACTGTTACCCAATAGTAGAGTCTGCTTTGTAATTACATTTAGCTCGCTTTAGTGTTTTAATTTGTATGCCACCAGAAGGTCTAGTGTTTAAAAGTGTGTAGTGATCAGAAGGAAGCTGAGAATGACTAGCACTTCTATGCTGTGTGATGCAGCACTATGGTGCCCCTAGTCACTCTCTGTGGCTTTGTGCTTAGTTTGGAGACAAGGACCTGATTTATATTGTCTTTGGCATCTCAGACCTAGAACCCAGTAAATCTTTCCAGGTCATTTACATAAGCTGCTTTGGGCTATTTTGCTCAGTTGGTTTAAGGTCAAAGTGAGTAAGTTAAAGGTAGAGATTTCATCCCAGGATCACTGCACCAGTTAGCTTACCACCCTTACATGGCAGCCTCAACCCTTCCTATTAAGTCAGTTACCTGCAAGACTTAATGAAAAGATTTATCTAAATTTCTGAGAATCTACTACCAATACACAACACTGCCTAATCCGGTGGTTTCATCTCTACACAAGAACAAGTATGTCCAAAAAAACCTTAGGTTAACTCATGTGTCAAAAGCAACTAGTCAAAGGCTGCGCATGGTGGCTCACGCCTGTAATCTCAGCTTGGAGGCAGAGGTGGGTGGATCACTTGAGCCCAGGAGTTTAAGACTAGCCTGGCCAACATGGTGAAACCCCATCTCTACAAAAAATACAGAAAAAAAATTGGCTGGACATGGTGGTGCATGCGTGTAGTCCCAGCTACTTGGGAGGCTGAGGTGGGAGGATGGTTTGAGCCCAGGAGGCAGAGGTTGCAGTGAGCCAAGATTGTGCAACTGCACTCCAGCCTGGGTGACAGAGCCAGACCCTGTCTCAAAAGCAAAAACAAAAACAACTAGTTTAAGACATTTTTTGGCCGGGTGCTGTGGCTCACACCTGTAATCCCAACACTTCGGGAGGCCAAGGCGGGAGGATCATGAGGTCAGGAGTTCAAGACCAGTCTGGCCAATATGGTGAAACCCCGTCTCTACTAAAAATACAAAAATTAGCTGGGCGTGGTGGTGAGCACCTGTGCTCCCAGCTACTCGGGAGGCTGAGGCAGAAGAATCACTTGAACCCAGGAGGTGGGGCAGCAGTGAGCCGAGAGAGCAACACTGCACTCCAGTCTGGATGACAGAGCGAGACTCCGTCTCAAAAAAAAAAAAAAAAAATTTTTAGCTTCAAAGAGCAACCAGAGGAATATTCTCATCACACATTCCAGGATATGTATACTACATACTTACCTTCAGAAAACACTCATATATGAAAGCCAAGTTCTAGAGTAAAAATCTAAATTATTGTGTAAATTAAAAGCTTATTATCTTATAGAGTAACCTTTACAAAGGTATAAACCTTTGCCATTATAACCTCTGTTATTAGCTGCTCCTTATTGATATTTACTAATTAGACTTGCTTTTAGCTATCAAATACTCATTCTGTGCTAACCACTTTATATACATGATCTCATTTAATCATCTGAATCCTATAAAGTGATCATTGGCTATTTGCCCTAGATCAGTTATCAAGTCCCAGAATCAGGATTCAAACCCAGACCTTGCTTGCTCCAAAGCTCTTGCGTTTAATCCGTTCTACTGACTGCTTCAACTTACACAGCAAAGTACATAGCAACTTACTTCACTTAGTCATTAGAGCAAACATCTGAGTCCATCTTTCAGCAAGATCAAAGGTTTATCTTAAAAAACCACTTTCCAAGGTTATATATCATCGAAGGCTTTTCACGATGACACAATGGGTCAGTTTATCTCCAGCACATCAAGGTCACTAAAGGTCTCAGTGCCTTATTTGCTATTTAACACTGAGTCACAAAGGGTCTCCCAGGCATCCCACACTGTCCCAAATGAGTAACATCCCAGGTGTCTCCAGTGTCTCCTGATACTATAAAGCAAGATTCAGTGGCAACAAGCGGTGCTAGAAGCATTCGTTGGTTCACAACACACTTTGCAGTGTACATGTGAGGTGGGCAGTGGAAGGGTCCAGGGAGGGATTTAGCTCAGAGGTTCTGTAGGGGAATATGATAGGCTGGACTTTCCAGCCTCCTTGTCAGTTTCTGCTACCACCAATGAAGGGGTTTCAGAGCTGAGTCACAGCTGAATGTGCCTTTGGATATACCTGCCATATGGACTGCAGTAACCTTCAGGACTTCTCATGCTATTGGTTCTGGAAACTGTAGCATATCAACAATTTACCATATGTCCTGCCCTTTCATGTCCAAACGCCCTTGAAAGAGGAAGTAATAATTTAAGCAGACTCAGTAATGGATTCTTACCTGCAGTGGATTAGCCATGTCATCCCTCTCCATTGATACAGAAAATCAGGAATTGAACTGAGATTTTTGTTGTTGTTGTTGTCAATTTCCATTATTGGCTTGATAGGGAGTCCCTGGGTTTCAGAGCAGTCCCTACAATGTCTTATTGATTTCCTAATGTCTCTCACTCATTACCCTATAGGTCACTGTACCCCAACACTGATCTGATTCAAATCACATTAAAAAAATTTTCCAAGATGTGTTTTCTCTAATGAATCTATGTAGTGATTTTCCCCCAGCATTTAAAACTTATTATAAAAGTATCCTGGTTGACTATGTTATCATTGTATTTTTTTTTTTTTTTTTTTTTTGAGACGGAGTCTTGCTCTGTCCCGCAGGCTGGAATGCAGTGGCCGGATCTCAGCTCACTGCAAGCTCCGCCTCCCGGGTTTACGCCATTCTCCTGCCTCAGCCTCCTGTGTAGCTGGGACTACAGACGCCCGCCACCTCGCCCGGCTAGTTTTTTGTATTTTTTAGTGGAGACGGGGTTTCACCATGTTAGCCAGGATGGTCTCGATCTCCTGACCTCGTGATCCGCCCGTCTCGGCCTCCCAAAGTGCTGGGATTACAGGCTTGAGCCACCGTGCCCGGCCTGTTATCATTGTAGATCAGACATCAGACTAAGACTGTGATTGTCTTGGACAATCTACAGGTCTGTGTTGGACAAGCCTGTGTAGACAGAGGCATTCA